AAAAAATTTTTTTTAGCGTCACATACATTTAGTGCCCACGCTGCTATTCCTACTACCTCTAAACCCCACTAAGCTTAAGACAGCATTGGCTAAGTCGGTGAGGGATATCCTGCATTTTCCATTGTGCCCACCTCCCTTGCATCCCACCGAAGTAAGCAGACCAGCCTGGGGCGTTGGCGTCAGAAGAATCAGGGTACGGAGTAGCATCTCCAGGCCCCCCCCCGGCCCATTCACACGTGCGTGCCGTACTTTCGGTTTACCTCCTCGATCCATCCCTTCATTTCCTACCCAAGTCCCATCCATGCCCTCCATCTTCATGTGCATCCCGTAAACCACTCAAGCCATGCGCGCTTCCATTCCTTCCCCCCCCCTGCCGCCTCACACAAGGAGCCGCCCCAAATTCTCCCTCAGACATCCCCCCCCCGCCTTATTCTCGCCTACCCTCCCGCAGAGGCACCTAGCCTGCCCCGCCCCCGCCGTCTCCTGCATCTCTACAGGCCTCTCCGCCTTCCCAGCTGTCACCGCACCACAACAGCCACCGAGCGCAGGGACCCCGCCCTGCTGTCGGCACTTGCCGAGCCAGCCCGTTTTTTGTTTTTTGATGACGGACGCGAGGAGAACCTCCTCGCAGCAGCTCCCGGCGACTGCCTCCCCTGAGAAGCCCCGCCTCCTCCTCCTCCTCCGCCGCGAGAGGGGAAGCCGGAGAACGGTTCGACGGTCCGAGCGCGGCCGTTAGCGAGGACTCACCATTGTCAAGGGAACGCCGCGGCAGCGCGAGCCCGCCGGTTGTCCCGGTGACGAAACAGCCGCTCGAGAGAGGGCAGCAGACCGACAGGCCCAGCCAGCCAGCCAGGTGCGAGAGGAGCTCGCGCGCCGCCCAGAGGACGCTGGGGAGAAGGGAGGAGGGGAGCGGTGACATACTGAACACGTGACAGGGGCCAGGGCCTTGCGGACTGGGAACGCGTGACATACTGACGGGCGCCGGCCTCTCTGAAGGGAAAGCGGAGGAGGAGGAGGCCGGTTTATTCCAGGGCTTAAATTTGAACCAGGGTCAGTTTGACCATTTAGCAAAACCCAGTGGCACAGCTTTTCCTGGCATGCACCTTCTATGGCCAGGTTTAGTGAAACGAAAAAGAGTCACTTACTGGTGTCCATCAATCAATACTTTATTTACAGTCCATGACCAGAATACAAACCAGTAAGGAAAAAATACTAGATTTTCAGCTTTGCCACTTACTGGTGTGACTTTGTGCATATCCAGGGATTAGGGTTGTTTTCTTAAAAATCCGTACTAACTGTACTAGCTGACTGTTACTTTGTGACACACCTGGCAAGCGTTTTTGCTTATAATGTTTGGTTTATAATCTGTTCATTTCATATGGCTTGATGCTGATGTGGTGTGTACTTATATACAGGGGTCATTTCCTGCAGGAGCGCACAGAAGCAGAGCTCCGGCAGTAAAGAGCCCAGGGGGCAGGCACATGCAACAAGCCCCACTAGGGTTGCCAAGTGGCACTTACCGTACCTTGCCGGCGGGGGAGTCCTGTGTGGGTTGCAGCACGCGTGCGCAAAGCGCGCGCACACCGCATGCACGTCACAGGGAAGTGACGTCATGACGCTGGGCATGAGTTTTCCCTTGCCACGACCATACAAGGGGAAACCATAGAGTTTTCCCTTGTATGACCATGGCCCCGCCCCCAGCGTGCCCGGTGTCATAACGTCACTTCCCTGTGACGTACACGCTGGGGCAGGGTTCCCCCCGGGGCCCAATTCCCCGGCGTTGGGGAACGGGCCTCTGAGGCAGGGGTTTTTCCGCCCCCCGGGGGGACTTGGCAGCCCTAAGCCCCACCCCCTGCTCCCAGCAGCCCTCAGTCAGAGCAAGAAGCAGCCAGGTAAGATGCAGAGCCCCCCCAGCCCCCCGGTCCAAAACAGTCCAGTGACATCTTTAAGACCAAGTTTCATTCAGGTACAAGCTCTCCCTCCTCTGTGAGGACACATCTACACGTTCACCCCCCGCATAGCAATCCAAAACAGTCCAATGGAGCCTGAACGGTGGGTGTTGCCTTCTGACACACTTCCGGTGATGTCAGGGGGTGTGGCATATGCAAATAAGTTATGCTAATGAGTTCCACCTCTTTTTCTACGAAATGACTCCTGATTATATATAAGCCTTTTGGGGACCATTGGGGTGGGGGGTAGCAAATATTTTAATACAAATTTGTGTCCACATTGTCCAGATTCAGCTTGTGTTTACTCAACTACCAGCCATCTCCCAGAAAGTAGATCTGGAGTTTGAGAGGGTAAGTGGGTACCTGGAGCTGCCACCAGGTGAGGCCTGGAGTTCACCAGGAATTACAACTAGTTTCCACACTACGGAGATCATTTTCCTTGCAGGAAATGGCGGCTTCATAGCCTGGCCTCTTTGGCATCGCATGCCCACCGAGGTTCCCTTCCCAACCTTCATCCTTCTAGGACCAGCCCCAGGACTTAATGCCTCCCTAGACAAAGGGTTTCATCACCACTCAAGTCACCTGCAAGCTGGGATTGCAGCTTGCCACAGCATGCCATCCCAATACCCAGCAACAGGGGAAGGATGGCCAGCTGCTGGGGTGCATTGGCACAGCAGAGCCCAGGTATGCTGCGCACCATTGTTCCTCGGCTTGGCAATGAGGAAGGGCCCTTAATGCTCAGGTGCATGGGTGTGGTGGTGCTTGGGGCTGCCACTTGCCCTTAGTACATTTGTGCAACAGTGACCCCAGGACCGTCCCATGCCACATTGGCACTGATCTTGGACCCAGCAATGGAGGAATGGCCTTGGCTGCCCATGTGCATGGGCGCACTGGTGCTCTGGGCTGCCACTACATTTCTGCTACTGATTATGGATTTGGCAGTGGGAGAACCCTGCCTGCCATCTGGGTGCGGTGGTGCCCAGCCCTGTTGTGCACCACTACTCCTGCATCCAACAGTGGGGGAAGGCTCTGGCCACCCTGGTGCATAGGTGTAGTGGGACCTAAGGCTGCTGCATACCACACACTACTGCTTCTGGACCTGCTTCCAGCAATGGAGGAAGGACCTGGCCACCTGAATACATTTGTGCAGCAGTGTGGTATGTGGGTCTTCTGCTTGCCATACTGCCATGTTCCCAGACCCAGTAATGAGAGAAGGCCAGATGCATCAGTGTATGGTGGTGTCCAGAGTTGCTACAGGCAGCAGCCAATTTGTGATGCTTCCATATAGGGACAGACTGGCACCCTAGGTGATTGCCTAGTGGCTTGGGTGGTCCTGCACCCTCCTCAAGTGCTGCTCCCAAATCACCAGGAATTTCTTAGGCCACAGTGGGCGACCCTCCTAGCACCTGGTCTCGTGTTTGATCCTGACTGCTTAGAATATGACATACAGAGATTGTAGCCTCTGAACTTTCATTCCAGCACCCAGGCAGCTGCTGGGGAGAGAGCATACCTGGCTGGCTGCAGAGGAAAAACCACCACCAGAGTAAAACCACCACCTTGGCAGCCACTCAGGAAAAGAGCAACCTGACCACAGTGGGCTGGTGATGGTTTTACTCCCCTTTCACTATGGCTACCTTGATTTCTTCCAGGCACCTTGGTGATTTCTGTCTCTGCTGATCAGCTGTGCCTCATGCTGAGGAGAAAGCAAGAAGGCAGAGAAGAAAGCCCTTCCCCTCACTCCAGATACACAAGGACTGGGTCAGGTTTCAACCTTGTGGGGAGAGACAACCCTGCATGCTTAGAGGTACATTTGATATTAGCAGGTATATCTTATTCCATGAGTGTGTTTGGTGGGTTGGCACGCAGTTCATACAGCAGCCATGTGGCTCTTTTAGTTGATTTTTAATTGCAAATGTGGCATGGAGTGATTACCACTGATTTAAACTATAAAGGCACAGGAGCCTTTCCAGCAAAAGTAGCAACCCTAGTACGAAACACGTTTCCATAAAGGTGTGAAAATGTTTACTGAAATATATAACTGAATGCTTGGATTATAGTGCTCCAGGGACAGATTTCCTTCACCCAGTGGTCACATTTCAGTATAGGCATTGGAAGAAAAATGCATTAAAAATCTTTGCTTCTGGTATAACAGAATGGTCTTGTCCCGCATTTTGGCAAACAACACAGGGACATTCTGTATCTAACTGTCCCCAGGGCTGTCAGGCCCAGACCCTGATATGGATAAAACACGCTGTACATAATATCTACCAGCCAGGTATGCTTTGCTCATCTTTGTAAATTTTGTTCAATTGATTTAAATTTATATATAGCCAATATTTACTTCATCATCTGTTGGCTATGACAGATTACCTTTTTCATGTCCCTATTAAAAATAACTAAAAAAATGTTATTTGGTAACATAATTCTGGAACATAAAGGTGTGACTGCCAAGAACACATCTCTAACCAAATATGCTTTTCCAGTATGAACAGGAAATACTTCCATCCTGCACAGACTTGCTTTATTCATGTAACTACCTTTTACATGCTTTAATACGTTACATGTTTAAAGAAATTTGAGAAGATCTGTCAAAGTTAGTACTACCAAACTGAAATCAACAATTATAAATAATGTTCACTGTGTTACAAGGGTTTTTTTAAATAAAACTCACAACACACTCCAGTTTTATTTGAGCTTCAGTTTTATGTCTTATTATGTAAAAATGTGTATTATGAAACCTAAGGCACATTTATGCATGTCAGGATGACATGATAAAAGATGAAAAGCAGCAATCTCAGTAAAGGGAAGCTTTAGTAATGTGCTGGCTGCGCTTCTTTCTTTAGAAGCTGCAGTTGCTGTCTCATTTACTGTGAAGTAGCCCCGGTACAGGTACAGAGGAGTAAATCTGCCTGCCCGTACAGTGCCAGAGGGCTGTCTGCTTTCTAGCTTGGCAACTGTGGCGGGGACTGAATAGGGCTGTCAGCTCTGGGTTGGGAAATGCCTAGATATTTCAGGGGTGGAGCCTGGGGAGGGCGGGGTTTGAGGAAGGACCTCAGCAAGATATAATGTCCACCTCCGAAGCAGCCGTTTTCTCCAGAGGAACTGATCTTGGTCATCTGGAGATCAGTTGCAGTAGCAGGAGATCTCCATCTGCCAGCTAGAAGTTGGCAACCCTAGGGGTGAATAACTATGCTTCGGAGCAGGACGTGGAAGGTGCACGTGTTCTGTAGTATAGGCCGAAATAGTGTGACCAGACCAAGGATACCCAGCAAACATGGCAGAGTGGGGATTAGATGTTGAGAAAATATTTAATAAAAATCAGATGGGGGTTATTTAAAAATGTTAATGTCTTAGTAGTATTACTTCTGCTGTCTTTCTTACTTGAGACAGATCTATAAACTCCTTTATGCATATCTATAAACGTAAAGCTTATTATGAATCTTGGGTTTTCTAAATAAGAATAATATTACAGTTGCATCCTGAGAAGATTTGATTTGTCTTCAGCTCTAGTATACCTTAGGGAAATGTATTTGCAACCCTTACAATGGCTAAAGAACTGCTTTACGTTTGTTGCACAGCAAAATGCTTGTTTAGGAAAGCCTCCAGGTTTTCCCTCTGGATAGCGGAGCGGCCAAGTCAGGACTGGGAAGGTCTATAGGCATGGCAGCGAAATTCCTGAAATGGTGTCCTGAGGCTAGCATATTCCCTCCAAATATTTGAAGACAAAAATTTTATAAATATTATTTCCAAAGAAGATCAGATCCTTTTTTAATTTAAGATAATTCCAATGGAAATGTTGTAAGTTGTAGCCATTTAATATTTTTATTTTCTAGCACAGAGTCTTTACGCAAAGCTGAAATGCCTTGGGCAATAAGGAAAATTAATTCCCTTTCATTTATGCAC